CTCGAGCAAGCGCCAGGGTCGCTGATGAAAAGCAATACAGAGCAGAAAGCTGCTTTCATGCGCAGCTTGTGGCAGGTACGGCTCCTGGAAGCGTTCATGCGTGAAGAGGGGAGAGGAAAGGGAGGGAAGAGAGTAGGAAGGAGCTTGTCACTGGCCACATAACTCATAAGGCTTGACCATGTCGCTGCCCCTCGTCTCACTCTCCTCCTTCCAGGGTTTCTTGCCCGTCATGGCATACGCGTGTTCATCCATCTACATGGTAATCTCGCAAGCTTACGTGCTCAGACACAACAAGGCCAAAGGTGACGACATGACTTGTCTTGCTTGTATTGACGACATGACTTGTCTTGCTTGTATTGACGACATGACTTGTCTTGCTTGTATTGACGACATGACTTGTCTTGCTTGTATTGACGACATGACTTGTCTTGCTGTATTGACGACATGACTTGTCTTGCTTGTATTGACGACATGACTTGTCTTGCTTGTATTGACGACATGACTTGTCTTGCTTGTATTGACGACATGACTTGTTTTTCTTTGCATTGACGACATGACTTGTCTTGCTTGTATTGACGACATTGGTTTTCTTGCTTTTGTTCTTTGACATAACACCACCTCGTGAGCTGACGTGACGCATTGGCAGATGTCAACTACTCAACTCTCCTTCTCATGTACCAGAACATCTGTGGAATCATGTTGTACTTTCCTGCCGTTTACCTCGGTGACCAGGATGTGTCAAGTAAGAGCAAGACATTGACCATGTTCAAACAGGGTGGCAGACTTTCGCTTTCTTTGACACAAAGGCTGCATACATTATGCTTCCAAACAGCGCCCTGTTCGGTGAGACAACGTTCATCCCGTTTTGATTCAAATATCCGCCCATCATCGTTCTAGTTTGTAATTGACATGTCATCGTAGCTATCATGGTGTACTCTTCAACGCAAGCAATCAGAACCCTTGCCGTTCCCATGATGTCGGTGAGGTTTACGTATCTGCATCATCATCTCCATCATCATCATCATCATCATCATCTCCATCATCATCATCATCATCATCATCATCACCATCATCATCATCACCACCACCACCACCACCACCACCACCACCATCATCATCTCCAAACACAAAGCAACCATTTCACCCGCCTGACCCTCTGTATCCAGATGCTAAGGAACTTGGCTCCCATCACCATCACCCTGGTGGAGTGGCTGCTGATGAAGGCAAGTATGTGTTTCCTCCTCATTTTCTCATCCTCCTCCTCCAGGGTCCCGCGCCCTCCAACGGAGTTCTCTTCAGCATGGTCCTCCTTATCTTCGGCGCCTACGTCGCTGCCCTCAACGACCTTGCCTTCTCTCTTGAGGGTTACTTGTGGATGCTCACTAATGTTGTCTCAAACGTCAGGTATGCAGCCCCTCCCTCCCTCCCTCCCTCCCTCCCTCCCTCCTCTCGTTCTACCTCTTTCCTCTCCTTATCTCCTTTTCTCGTCCTCACCCGCCCCACAGCCATCTCCTCGTACTCCGCAAACTCAAGCTCAACAAGTGAGTCACGAGAAGCATCTTGTGTCTTCTGACTTCACGTCAAGGGATCTGAGCAACACGCAAATCTTACATTACTCAGCCCTCTGGTCGTTGTTTTGGCTCAGTGAGTTGAACTTTCCACATTGCAGCTCCTCTCTCCCTCTCCTCTCTCCCTCTCCTCTCTCCCTTTCTCCATTCGCTCCCCTCGTCCCTATTTTTATCCTCATCTTCATTATTTCTTCCCATATTCTTCCAATCGCTCATTTCTGACCTCTGCCCCCCTCTCTCCTTCTCTCATCCCCATGTGAACGCGTCATCTTCGCCTCTCTTCCATCGCTCCGCCTCTCCTCTCCTCCTAGTTTTCTCTCTGACTTTGACATCCCACAGTTCCTGTCGGGTACTACGAAGACATCGGCAAAGCTTGCAGAGATTTGTATCACATGCCTCTAACCTTCAAACTGGTCGGCTTCCTTGTTGTTTTGCTTAACCTCATCCCCTCTCCTCTCCTCTGCTCTCCCCTCCCCTCCCCTCCCCTCCTCTCCTCTCCCCTCCCCTCCTCTCCCCTCCTCTCCCCTCCTCTCCT